CGCGCCGAGGACAACTTCAGGCGAAGGCCCGCCACTGCTACTACCGGGGCCTTAATAATTAGAATGCCATTCTAGTGTAAGATAATAACAAACCAGTAGTATGTTAAAGTATGTTATAGTATGGTCTAGTCTAGTATAGTGCCACTGCTAATACAGTGGCCTTAAAAGTTCCAACAAAGATCCTTTGAAGGGTACCATAGGGATCTATAACAAGGGTCCTGTACAGGGTAGTATAGAGATCGATAGCAGGGTCCCTTTAAAGGGTACTATAACGTTCCAGACTACAGTGTCCTTAATAATTCGAATGTTTTTTGGGTGGTAAATGACGGTATAACCCCTTACAGTCTACTACAGTACATTACAGTATGTTATAGTATATTCATACTCGACCTCTGTCTACAGAGGTCTACAACGGGCCTTCAACGTTGGCCTAGGTGCCTGCCCCAATAGCCACCATCACAACTATCCAATAAGGGTGCCATATATATATATATATATAATAAACCATCAGGGGAAGTCAACCCTATGCCAAACCGGTACCTGCTGACTGGCGCAGTCTTCGAAAACAGCACGTGCTACGCTTTGAAGCTTATCGGGGTAACGCAGGGGCCTTAATAATTAGACTAGGATGTTGGGCTACCTGATACTATAACTATAGTAAGGAACCCCCAAAACAGTATAAGTAATTCTTCAGGCCCCTAAACCCTAAACCGAAACCCTAAACCCCAAACCAGGCGCCTATATGAAGGGCTCACTTCCTCCACTCCTCAGTCTGGAATCCAAAGTGCCAAAGGGTCCAAGTATCATTATGGTATATAACTTAGATCCTTAGAATACGTATGAGTATATACGATAATGATACTTGGACCCTTTGAGAGTGCCAAGACCCGAACCCTATGACCGGCGAAACTGTTGCCGACAACCCCAAACCCTAGGGTGAATGGTTTAGGCTTTAGGGTTTGGGGTTTAGGTTCAGGGTTTAGGGTTTAGAGGTTCAGGGTTTTGGGGGTTAGGGTTTATGGGTTTGGGGGCTTTGGGTTTAGGGTTTAGGGGTTAGGGTTTAGGGTTTAGGGAAACCGTGAAGCCCCAAATACAGGCTTTAACGATTGGAAAAAAGGGCTTCGGGCATATGACAGCGTGACTAGAGCATATTACCCCAATTAGGGTACCTATAACCTTACTTACTAAGTCCCCTGATCCTCCAAGTAGGCATCAGGGTTTCGGCCGCCCGAAGGACTAGTCTTGCTACTGCTACTCGTTTGGGGGCTTTGACCATTGCCTCTAGCATCCTCTGAGCCCGCTACGGCCTCAGAGCTCAAGTACTGCCCACAGGGATCAGGGTTTTACGTTTTGGGGGTTTAGACGTTTACCTGGACCCCAAAGAACCTACTGTTTTAGGGTTCCTTATTATGAACTCTTTGTATAAGTCCTTACAAAGGTAGGTTTTGGGGGTTTAGAGGTTTAGGGCTTATAGGGTGTGGGGTCATGGGCTCAATACTAAGCGAAGGACCCGTCACCTCGAGGTGACCCTTGGCTTTGGGGCTTCTCCAGGCCAGTAGCGCTCCCTTTCGGATTGGCCCAAAGACTCCTAAAAGATCCTCGACTAAGGAATCAGGGTTTAGAGTCGTCGATTTAGGGTTTCAAGTTTTAGCGTGTGGTTTGTGGTTTAGGCAGCTTCAATTATAGGGGATCCGCACTATGATTGAGATAGAGGGGCGTTAATACTTTCAATTGTGCTCGGGTTGCATCTATATAAAGTATTCATGCAATGCGAATATTAATCATAATGTAATATGAATGTTAATGTTAATCAGAATCATAATGTAATATGAATATTAATGTTAAGCAGACCATACAGACTTTGGCGAGGCCGACGTCGGGTTCACAGGGAGGACTACTCGAAGCTATCTGAGCTGGAGCGCCAATGGCTTTCGGGGAAGCCTGTCCACTTAGCCATGTCTCACTTCATGAGAGAGCTACATGGACTTTCTCAACTTCGCAGGGTACGCCCGCTCCTACCCCTGCTCCCACCGGTGCCAAAGCTACTGCTCGTAGACCCGATCCTAACAGCATGACAAACCATAATCGTCGGGGAGTTGCCGTTGAGAAAGCCCTCCCGACGTGCCTGAAAAACAGGGTCTGCTTGCAGTCACTGAAGACTCCCCCCAGAGGAATTCGTTTGATTCCCCAGCAGGGGGTCCCTGTCAATCCTATGATGCCAAACCGAAGCTGACACGGCAACACAGCCCTAAATCCAAACTCCTAAAACACGAAACCCTATTTCCGACCCCCTACCGTGGTTCTCAAGCCCCCAGCGGCACCTTTGTGCCGTTCGCGGTTCTCGACCACTGACCTCGGTCGGGGCTCCTTTGAAGTTTAAAGCGTTCCTCATAAGGGATGTATAACTAAGGGCTACAGTTACAGGTTTCTTCAAGGCCTTCCGGCGAAGACAACTAAACAAGCCCTAATTCGAGTTCTCCTACCGGCCCCTGAATCAGGGATTCTTATTCCTCGTGGTCGTTTTGGAATGGAAGCCCCCTGAACCCTAAACCCTAAACCCAACAGAGACACCCAAACAATATGGAAGAGCGACTATAGGGGCCTTACATAATTTGAATAGGGTTTTGGTGTGGAGCGGACAGGGTTTTGGGGCATATCATACTAGTATTTTCATAATCAGAAACCCACCATAATAGTACGGGTAATTAATAGAACTTAGGCATACTTGGAGGTTCAGGGGGTTCCAAGTAACATCATGTACAGGCAAACCCAATGGCCTCGAGCGCGAAAGGAAGTAAGCTACAACTGACTACACTTTTACTAGACTGTGATATAACTAATAGGTATAATGCGATGATATACTATTGTCATACTATGAAAACTGTTATTTTACTGTGATATACTATCATATGCTGAAATCTTCTGCTTTGATATACTGTGGTATGAGACTGTCGTATTTAGCCACAGCGTTGCCATGAGCAGGAAACAACAATGCCCTTGCTCAGAGTAGTGACAGCTACCTCATCCTACCAAACCCTACTCTTTTGTAGGGTCCCTACAGATTCCATATTAGGGTTTACAATAAGAACCTACAAAAAAGTAGGTTTCTGGTAGTTTAAGCTAGACTGGGACCCACAGGATGATGCCCTCGCCCGTTGTAAGGATCATCAAGGGGAGTGTCGAGGCACGTAAAGGAAGGAGATGTGTGAATCAAGGGCATTCTTCACAACCCGTCTTGAAGTCCGCATAACTCTCCATATACAGCGCTTCTACTGGCCCGGGAAACCCTTGTAACCCCTGATAAAGCTCGCAGATTCTTCATATATACAACCACTTGTAACGCCCCTACAAGCCCTGTAAAGCATCGAGAACAATCTTCGACACCCCTGCACCCTACAAATCCTAAACCTCCTAAGCCCCTCAAAACCACTAAACCCTGGCACACTAACACCACGAGCAAACCCTAAACCATACATTCCTAAACCTCCAACGACGCGGGGAAGACCTTAAACCTCAAATCCCTGAGTCGGCCTAAACCCTACATCTCAAAAAAGCAACAGAATAAATCAGCAACACAAAGAACACTAAGCAACCCAAACCCAGCCCCCTCGTTCCCTTCTCCCCCCTTCCCTATACTGAACTTAGAACCCTAGCACAATTATAATTTTAGCTGTTTCCTAGGGATTATAACCAAAAACTGAAAGTTATTTCTAAGTACCCCTAAGTTCACCCTCCACCAAACCCAAAGACCCAGAGCTCTGCCCTCGCGCGCGCGCGCGTTTTTTTTTCTTCTGCGGGCTCCTTGTTGGGCTGTCCAGATTCCAAGCCAGCTTTGGCCTGAGATTGGCCGGACGTTGTTAGAGGCCGTAAAACAATTATGTAGAATAGGGTCAGTTGAATCAAAGGGCTCCTTCAAACGGGATCTATAAGGGATACTATATTGGTAGCATATTAGTATAGTATGGGGGTCTTAGTAGCAATTGGAATTGGGTTCATGAGTTTGATGAAAGGGATCCTTAAAGGTCTATGCTAGGGGGTTCCTTTTGAAAGGGGTCCTTATAGGGGCTAATAATATACGGGATACTATGAGGGTACTACAGTATAGGGGACTCAAAAATTAAAATCGGGCTTGGGGGTGTATTGCAGCTGCTAAAAGTATAATAAGGAGCGCTAAGGGATAATATACGTGATTATTATTTAAGCTTCTATATTAGTTCCTTCCAGTGCTCCTTTCGAAGGCTTCCTCCTCTCTAAAGGGATGTATAATTAAGGGATGCAGGTTGCTTTAACCTTTCAGGCTTTAGGGTTGGGTTTCGGGTCTAGGGCAACTTTGAAGGGCTCCTCTGAAGGGGTTGAGGGTTTGGATCCTGTTGGGTTCCCTTGACGGGTACTGTAAGGCATCTTTGAGGGCTCCTTCAAGGGCGCATGCTTTAGGGCTTGGGGTTTAGGGCAGTTTGCTTCAGGTAATTATCCGATTCATGGCTCTGCGACTGGTCCAACTGGGTTCCCTCGCGATGTTGTTCTGCACTTGAATCCCTCAACCCCGTTGTTGACGCCCTTGGAGCCTCCTCCGCCGACGTTAGGCTGTCCGGCAGAGGCACGGATCGTGCCTGTGTGCATCGCCATGCCAGGCAAGGCCCTGACAACCTGTCTCGACTTCAGCGCCGGACTCCAGCCTCTTGGAGTTCTCAATAACTTGAAGCCACACTTGGCGAATGCAGCACACATGTCGCCCGGCATCGCAGCTCCGTGGAGCTCGTGGAGCTCAGTACTAGGGCTTAGGGATTAAGGCTAAGGTTTACGATGGTAGGGTTTAGGGTTGAGGGCCCTTCTTATGATCAACCCGAAAATCGCGTTCGCTGGCATGTGAAACCCTATACAACTCCATAGAGTCAATACATCTCTCTCTCTCTATATATATATATATATATATATATGTATACTATACTTAGGTCTCAACAGACAATCCTTATTATGGATTTTGGGACCTAATTGCATAACAGTGGTATATATATGGACCTTCTTGGAACGCTTCTACAACCGTACGAAAACTCGACATCAGAACTCGACTTGCAAACCCTAAACCCCTAAACCCCAGCACCCCAAAACCCTGATCCCAAAACCGGAACCCTACTTCAACAGCAAACAACCTGAAGGAAATCATGATTGGGGAATCCTAGCAAATAACCTGAAGGAAAGCATGATTGGGGAACCCTCTACAGTAGGTTTCTTGAGTTATAAGTAAGCTCTCAATCAAAGACCCGGCGGCAAGTTGGATCCGGATGGCTTCTTCCGGAGGTTTGCCTGCGAGAGAACCGGAGAGGTCCTGAGCCGGCTTTGGGTTAAGGGTTTACTTAGAGGATCATGGGACTTAGTAACTAGGGCTATAATTAAGGTAACTGTACTTTCTAACCCTCCTTACTAAGTCCCATGATCCTCCAAGTAGGTTTCTTTTCTTTCCCTGGTTTCGTATCGCTTTATGAGGGGTTTAGGGCTTACGGCTTACGGGGTGTAGTTTGTTTTTGCTGCTTTTTCCCCTGGTTTCGTATCGCTCTAGGGGTTTAGGGCTTGGGGTTTAGTGGTTTCTTAGCATGCTTTTACGTGAGCTTTGTGATCTTTTGCAAGTGCTTTTGAGGGTTTGGTTTCTGGTGGTAGGTTTAGTGTCCGAAGTTTAAGTTTGAAAGTGACACCCCAGGAGCCCTCTACCTAGAGAGCCTCCTAACAACAACCCAAAGCCTTGTAGACCTGCCTTCCCGTCGGCGCCTGAATCTTTTTGTCCCTTTACCCCAATCGCAACACCCGAAATCCCTAAGACCCTAAGTCCAAAAATCCGCTTCCCTTCCCCTCCCAGCCGAAGCGCTGCATGCGCTTGAGGAGCTGATCTGCTCCCGTACCTAGGCAGCTTAGTGACAAGTAAATATATTTTCGGTTTAGCTAGATGATGATACTGAGAATCCGAAGCGCCAGGAAACCTTAGTTCCGAAACCTCTAAACGCTAAACACAAAACTCTGAACCCCCCCCCCCCCCCTCCCCCGAAACAAAAAGAAAACACGTCTACCACGGAACAACCCTCGTCACTGATCCCTGAATCCCTTAAACCTAAACCCAGGAAACAACGACAACAACAACAACAACAAACACAAACAACGTCTATTGCAGAGGCCTTAAAAACTAGAATAGGGGTTTGGGCTCCTTTCAACCCCAAGATCATATTGGTAATTATTTAGGCTTCTATGTTGAAGTATCCACGGTGAAAACAGTAGACACTATTTCAGACTGGTTACTTCAAGGAAAAGATCCAAAAAACAGTGACAACGTATGTTACTCCAGAACCCAGTATCTCAGAGATTTTAGCCTCTAGTTTACCCTCTGCTCTCTTGAAAGCCCCTTTAAGGCTTCTTTAAGGGCTCCTTTAAGGGATCCTTTAAGGGCTTCTTTAAGGGCTCCTTTAAGGGCTTCTTTAAGGGTTCCTTTCAGGGTTCCTTTCAAAGTTCCTTGAAGGAGCCGTTAAGGCTGCCTCTACAGCTTCCATCTTCCTACTGCAGAACCGACGGAATGCCCTCGCCCAGGGACCCAAGGCTCCGCCAAACCGTAAATTGCCCTCAGGGCGTAGGGCAGGGTTTAAGGCTTCGGATTGCTCTAGACCTCTTGTGCCAGCTTGTAGACTGTATACAAATCTGTGGATCCCCATAATATGGTATGAGTTGCAACAATTACCATTACCCTAGACCCCCTTATGGTTTAGGGTTCAGGGGAGGCTACTATCCTGTAGACCCTACACCCTACATTACCACTGAACAACCGACGACACCCCATAGATCCTATACGACCCCATAAACCCTATACTACCTTATGCTACCCCATAGACCCCATAGAGCCCTATACGATGGTGTATGTACATATATATATATATATACATACACACACGCATAAATTACCCTGTAGACCCCAGATGTATGTCTGTATGTATGTCTGTAGGTAGGTAGGTATGTATGTGTTTGTGTATGTGTGTATATGTATATATAAATATACACTTCTATGTACGCACGTACCTGTACAAATAACTACTTAAATAAAGAAAATATCTAATATATATATATATATATGTATAAATGTATATGTGTGTTAGTACCGTCTAACTGTCCTATGGAGCCTTGCATTTGGGTATGGCAACTCCAAGTCCAGGACCCAGGTGCCCTCGCCAAGGGAAGGAAGGCTCCGCTGGTTGGAGAGCCCGGGCCGGATCGGTCCTTGGAATCTTAGTTGCTGAGTTCATAAGCCCCGAGAACCTGCGCACTTTTAGTTGTATAGGGGGTCCTACTATCTCAAAAAGTGTAAAGTGTATCCACTCG